TATCCGATGACTAGCCCGGCCCACAGGCCAATCGACACGCAGAAGAACAGGTGCCTGCATGCATATCACCATGTAAGCGCTACTGACTTAGAAGAAAGGCAAAGAATTCAAATTTTTGTCATGGTATTTCAGGTAGAAGGAAGCATACCAGTTCTTTACAGCCTTCTCGGTACCAAAGTTGAAGAGAGTAAACTCAGATGGTAAAGCGAAGAAGGTGACCACGGCAATGCCAGCAGTCATCAAAATGGTCGAGATCAAAAGTTGGCGCTTTAGCGACGGCTCAATCTCACTCACATGTCTAATCTCAGCAAGGTCGGTAGCAAAAAGTGTAGTTATCAAGCAAATTACAATGCCCATTGCGCTTATGATCAGAGGATAAGACATGGCTGAGTAGTCATGGGTTATCCCAAAGGATGAAATTGAGGCAACGAAAAGTGCAGCGCAAGATGACTCTGCGTAAGAACCGAATAGATCGGAACCCATCCCGGCAATGTCCCCCACATTGTCACCCACATTATCAGCAATAACCTGCAAAGGTTCCATTCGTCTTGTGGCTTAATAAGATGAAGATGTCAAGAAAAAACAGTCCTACATATCGATTAACCAGTCCATAGCATTAAATGGTATCTAAAGTAGCAAGAGAAAGTAGATTACAGCTGGGTTTCTTGGGTCATCTTCGGGGATGTTCTTTTCAACTTTCCCAACAAGGTCGGCACCAACATCGGCTGCTTTCGTGTATATGCCACCACCAACTCTTCCAAAAAGTGCCATTGAAGAACCCCCGAGACCGTAGCCCGTAATCGATTCATAAAGCCCCTCCCAGTCGTCCCCATAGTACAGCTTAAACAGATTAATGGAAACATAAAGAACCAAAAGACCATTTGCAGCAAGAAGAAATCCCATCACAGCGCCTGAGCGGAAAGCTGTTATGAATGCCTTTCCAACACCTTTCCTTGCTTCTAATGTGGTTCTCGCATTCGCATAGGTTGCAATCTTCATGCCAAGAAAACCTGAGAGCACGGAGGTGAGCGCGCCAAGCAAAAAGGCGATGGTGCTGAACATTGCATTGGCCAGAGCCGGTTTGCAGAGGCTTCCTGGATTGTAAGTGCAGGGCTCACTCTGGGTGCTGAACCCCTTGACTGAACCAAGGAAGAGGAAAATGATGACGGCAAAGGCGCCCATGAAGACGCCGAGGTACTTGTACTGGGTAAATAGGAAAGAAGTCGCCCCTAGAATAGAGTGAAACACATCATATAGCAGAAATTATAGGTCAGCAAAATATTGGAATTATAAATAGTAATCAACTGGGTGAATCCATGCGACATGAATCTAGGGTAGAAAGTATTTAATGGTTGACACATGAAATGCTTTCAAGATAATAGCACGAATTGGAGAAATGTTTTATATTCTACAAACAAGTCTCCCATAGGATGGTGGTAAACAGATCAACACCACCAGTATAATCACTTGTATATTCTTAGCAATTATGAAGTAATCCACATACATGTATAGATTAATCTGTATGACCCCAAAAAAACACATTTCTTGATCTTGTGTCAATAGACATCATCGTTTTCCTACTTTCATTTCATACTACTTTTAGGATAGGTGAGAGGATTCAGTTGCTTATCTCAGACATTGCTCTGTTCTTTTTTCATTTTTGTCCTTCTTATGAATGATTTGTGATCCTCGCTAATCAACCGGACATTAGTATTGTAGCTTTTGCTCTCCATCACGAGAGCAACATAGTCAAAACCAAACGTTCTGTCCCAACTTCTCCCACCTATTCGTGGAAGCTTAACTCTTTATGAATCAGATGTACTTTTAACAAATAGGAGATCCGCCACAATTATTCAGATTGCACAAATGATTACCTTACAGCCACTGGGTGTCCAATGAATATATTGTATTGTGGATTCCTAGTGTAAAAACCTCATCACGCAAACGAACAAACCAGATGAATGGACACGGGAAGTCAAAAGATCGAAGAAATGCGTCTTATATCCTTCAAAAGCAAGTGATATCATTCTCCATCTGGGATGAAAAAAGAAAACTGAGAATAGTTTTGTCATATTAATTTTATTAGTTTTAGTGGAGTTAAAAAACTCATTGCAGCTCAAGGGGCATGGCTGACGGCCAGAAAAACAAAAGGAAAAAACAAGAGAAGTATATGATGTAATCATTGAAAGGGAAGACCCACTACTTCAGAAGCACCATAATCTGATCATTTCTTCAACTAAAGACATGTCTCCTATTTCATGTACAGTCAAAAGTTTCAGGAGATTATTTATTTTGAGAGAGAGACAGAGAAAGAGAGAGCTCATTACCGACAGAAATGGCGTTCTGGATCTCGGAGCACTTGATGAACGCATCGACATCCTCGGGACCCTCCTCTTCATCCTCAATCAGCTTGTCCTTGTACCCATCTTTCTTGCCATAATCAGCCGACACCTTGACCTTCGAGACCAACAGCCACTGGAGCAGAGCAAAGCCAATGCCAATGAAGGCAGCAACAGGTATCAGGATCTGTGTCAGAGCCTCGCTCAACACGGCCATTTTGGAGAAACCCAACAAGTTGGAGACTGAGTTTTAGCCTGTGTCTCTTAGCACATTCAGCTAATAAAAGAGTGTTCCAAAGACGACCCTTTTTGTACGCACCCTCTAGGCCTCCTACAGCAGAATCTACAGATCCTGAGAACTGGGCTTATCCAGAAATATCTCAGAAGCTTTCCATGGCCACTAGAATCTTGTGAAATGGAAACCGGTAGTTCTGATTGATAGTTGGTGGCAATTCCTTTTGTCCCTTTGCACCTGGTTGGTTTGAATGACGGATTTATCTTATGGCACGTATGATTGGGTCCTCTTGACTTCTCTGCACATTGCGTTATCTTAGCGAGAAAGATTTGGCCAAGTCGGTAAAGGGTAAGGTCGATCAGCAACAGGCTTTCAGTAGAATGTGCAGATTGCAATTATAAAATCATTGGATAATAATGGTGGGTGAAAGGTGTGAACTGGCAATCTTGCTCCAGCATCCAGGCAAGTTCGTTGTACAGCATGATTCAGACAAAAGAACAGGCGAAACGCCGTGTGAAAATGCGGGTTTCTAGCGTTTTATAATGAGGAATTGGCTGACTTCAGTTGGGACGGACCCTTCTTCCTCTTTTGGTTACAGCGTGATTTAGCAATTCGTCTTTCGTACATTAAATACGATTATTGCTCGCTTCGATGTGGGAAAGCACGCAATTCTTGCGGAATAAGTCGTGAGGGCCTGGAGAAAACATGAGATGAACGAGACGTGAACACATGCGACACTTCGTGAGAAGGTGGATCAGAACATGTTTTTGTCAGAATTGACGTACAATACAAATTCAAGATGATTTCCTAGCAACAGCCTTTGGTTTTTAACTCCGTTTTCGTCTCCATTTATAGGAACTATAGATTATTTGTGCTCGATTTGTTATTTTCTGTGTATATACATGGAACTCATTAAAGAGGAATAATTACCAAGTAGTAGAAAACTTAATGTAAGGATGTTAATTCAATCATAAACTTTTCCATTTTACTAATGTAATTCTAAACCTATTTTACGAACGCCAATTCAATCATAAACTTTTCCATTTTGTCAATGTAGTCATAAACCTTTATGCTAAATGCCAATGTAATTCTTTTGGTTAATTACCGTTATATATTGTTGACATGGCATCTACTCCTTGTCGGCCGTCCTACGTGGCAGGCTAACATGAAAAACTTAATTCGAACTGACGTCTTACATGGACTGCCGTGTCAATGCTTTCCGACATCAAATTAGCCGAAAAGGACTATAATGAAACTTCATCCAATAGCTTTAAGACTGATTTACTAATTTTCTCTATTAAAGAGGAAGAACTGATCAATTGAAAATCTGATGGAAAGGAAGGAAAGCTAATAGCAACTTCTCTTTTATTAAAAAAATTCGTTAGCCAAGAAGATATAACAAGTCAATTTCGTCACAAGGCCTGGCTGACTTGAATTTCATCCTCTAAAAAGTAGTTTGTTTTGCTTGTTTTACAAGGAGATCTCTCACGTAACAAACGAAAGAGTCAAAAGCCTCCTTGAATGAAGAAGAAAAAGTTAGGCATGTCTACAACTTCATTAATTCAATTGACCAGTTTCCTAAAGGCACATCAAGATCTGAAGTTGCTAGTGCAACGTAATTGCACGAAACTTCTTGCAAGCCGGCTCTACTTTGGCCTGTCCATAAGTTCCATTTAATGAAAAGAAGCTGGTAAGGAGGTAATCACATCCAGAAACAGACAGAAGACAGCATTGCAGCCTCAGACCAATGAGCACCTCAAAGAGTTCATTCTTATCCAAGAAGCGCCATTGATGGAGACATGCTGGACAGCGAAATCTCGACAGCCATGCCCATCCTTAAGATTCCTAGCTTGAAAGCCGTGTGTTTTCGAGGCCTCTCAAATTTACAAGAACAAGCAAATTCATGCACTAAATCAAACATATAGCCAGTAAAAGACCTATGATCATTGGTGACCTACGAGAAATATTTCTTGGCAAATTTCTAATGAGCCCGTGATGAGCAATTCACACGCTGAGCACACAGGCAAATCAGTCATCTTTTCTTCATCCACCAAGAATTAACCAAAGAATTAACATAACGAATGCGTCACGGATCCATTATGCAAGAGAACGACAAGAAACGTTTTAAAGTTGGCATCTGGCAGTCAAATCAGCACCCAAAAGATCTACCGAAGCATCAGACAATAGGCAAAAACGAACAATAATGGATGCTACAGCATTACAAATATATGGTTAGCATGGACCACACATCTAGAGAGGAAATTAAGTCTTGGCCCCATCAGGTTCTAGAGTAGAGATTGAAAATGATACTCCGTCAAGACAGCGATGCAAAATAAATATCTCTAGTCACCGTATCAAAATCATCATCCTCCAATCAAAAAACGTACAGATTCATAGCATCACCTTCTCTATGCAAAAATATGCCGTTCGCATCAATCTTTCTCAGATAAAGGAAGGATAATGAAGGTGCACAAGGTACACTTACCAACAGCTTTACAAGGTCTCTTTCACTTCACATTTAATGAATCATATAAGAGGATCCTAACCTTTCATTATGGTGAAATTGACCCCAACTAGAATGGAGATTGTCCCAAATATACTTGCCGTTTCTCCTCCATATAAACAAAGATAATGGACATATTTCATGTTTTGCACATTTATAACCTGAGCGGCAAGAACAGTGTTCCTAGAACTATATCGAGATTAAACTTCCGACAAACAGGCAAATGGAGAGGAATAACCTCAGATGAGCGGATGGGTGTAATCAGTTGCTCAATTCTTTGCTTCGGATAACATACCTTTGCAGGTGCAATTAATAAAAAAACTAGTCGGTTTTTCTTCTTAAGAAATCATCCAATATGAATTTCATTTGAAGAAAAAGTAGGTGGGATCTCATTAGGGCAGCACTCAGCAGCCCATGCAGGTAAAGGTGCCCGAAACATCAGGGGCACGCCAGTTACCGGATGCTCAAAGGACAAGCTCTCGGCATGAAGAGTGTGGTAGTCATATATTTGCCCTTCCCACTCATACACACCCTCGTATTTCACATCACCTCTTATGGGAATCCCAAGATACTGGCAATGCAAGCGTATTTGATGCGTCCTACCACTCCGAGGATATGCTCTCACAAAAACTACATCTTTCGTTCCATTATCCCTGATAGAAGATTTCTCTTCAACTACTATGATATTTTCGTTATCTTTTCCCTGCTTAACTGGGTGCTTGGACTTCAATTGGCCATTTACAGTCAATACCTCAAATGATGTTTTCATGTCCCTGACCACAGACCCACCTGGCAGTGTCCGTCCCACGTCTGCTGTTGCGTAGACTCTCCAAGCTCCAAACTTTGACCGACCATGGCCTGATTGAATGCTTATTGTTTCCCACTTTGGCGCTAATCCAACACAGAGAGCTATGTACGTTTTTCTCACCTTATGCTCAGTAAACGCCTTCACAAGCCTAGAAGCTACCTTATGCGATTTGGTTATTAACATAATACCACTTGTGTCCCGGTCAAGTCGATTAGCAAGGTGGAGCTCAGGCACAGCTTCAGTGCACCCTAATACAAGAACACTGCAACCAGTCAATATTGGATTCTGTGCACTCATTTGATCGAATTCACGAAGCAATTGTCAAGGAATTCAGACATAACTTGTTCTAGTATTGACAATGTAGGTGCATAATAAGTATTCAAACTATGAGAAATAAAGATAAACTCGATCTCCATCTTAACCGCATCTACCAATTATGTAGGTCAAGCACACATCATGCAACGATAACCATTTCAGAGAACTTAAATGACAGAGCTAAGCTGCACAGCCAGACAGGAATCGAGGAGTAATCATTTTCTACGACAAGAACATCCTTGAAATGAGAACGACGCGGATTGGATCAGCCTCAAAATCTGCTCCAATTATCTATTTAAAAATTGCCAGAACTGAATAAAAATCAGCTAAAGCCATGAACCGGATTCAAATTTAGCCTTCTACTAAGGCTAATCAACGTAGGACAAAGTGACATCACTATGATCTAGAGCTGCAAATTCACTCGAGCATCACCACACCTGAAACAGCAACACCACACCTGAAACAGCAACAATTCATATGCTTCGGAGTAGGGAATTCTCTAATCCCATTCAGAACATCCACATCAAATTATAGCAGAATTAAGCCTAAGAAAATGCATTGCCACTATCTTCCCAAATAAAGCATCAAAAATCATATGAACTGCTCCAATATCATCAAACTGAACTCAAGTAAAAATTACAAATTTCCCCGTTTCGCATTCCCTTTTCCCTAAACCAAAGCACGGAATCGAACTTCAACTTCGCATGACGAATTTTCCAACTACACATCGCGTAACTCGCATTCGACATCTATGAATCGGCAGAGCAAGTAGAATTTCAACCACAGCGCGATGCAAAAACAGCAAGCAGCTTCCCGCACGAACACGAGACAGGATGCGAATTTCTCAAACGCAATCGCCCATCGAGAACCTAACTACCTGAATCGACGGAATCGCCGAGGACGAGGCGAGGAGCAGAGGCCAGGACGCTCTCGCAGTAGACCCCCGGCGGCTTGTCCACGGCGAGGAGCCACTCGTCCTCGTACACCACGTGGTTCCTCGAGAGCGAGAAGGCGCTCGATCTGGAGGAAGCGGACATGGCTCGGTCCAGCTCCACCTGCTTCGATAAGGGCGGCAGCGGAGGGGAGAGCGGCACGGGGTAGCTGATCGGAGATCCGGAGGCATCCGGGGGAACTGGATGCGGCGGCGGCATGGCGGCGGCGCGGCGGAGGCGCGGCGAGAGGTCGGAGAAGAAGGGTTTGGCGGTGGCAGCGGTGGGGATGGAGAGACTAAAACGCATCGTTTTGGGCTTTCATCGGTGTATATGCGATGCCTTTTTAGCTGGACGCGGAAAAATGAAATGTCATCCTTTTTTTTTTTTATTTGGTATGATATTTTCTTTTTATTTTTATATATATATATTTATAAAGTAAACTACATTGAATAGTAATCAGTTAAAACTTTCAAAAAGTGCAATCGAATCCTAAAACTTGTCACGAAAGTGCAATCGAGTTCTATAACTTTTAAAAGATGCAATCAAATTTTAAGACTTATTGCGAAAGTGCAATCGGGTCCTAATATTTTCAAAATGTGCAATTAATGAAAGTGCAATCAAGTCCTAAGATTTGTCACGAAAGTACAATCAAGTCTTATAACTTTTAAAAGATGCAATCAAACTTTAAGACTTGTCCCGAAAGTGCAATCGAATCCTAACACTTTCAAAAGGTGCAACCAACGGAAGAACATAATTGTACCAATTTGATAAGTTTTAGGACTTGATTGCACGGAAGGACTTAATTGTACCAATTTGATAAGTTTTAAGATTTGATTGCACTTTTTGAAAGTTTTAGAACTTCATTACACTGTCGTGATAAGTTTTATAACTTAATTGTACATTTTGAAAATTTTAGGACTTTTAGTGCACATATACACCTTTTCTTTTTCTTTTTCTCTTTTTTCATATAAATGGCATTGGGTCCTTTTTTTTTATGGTCGCAACATCGAGTCCTTCAAATGAGCGGTCCATGCCACAACCCGAGTTGACAAAAAATTATATGCATATGGTGGTGCGTGAGCGGGCCGCGGGACGTATATGCACGAGTAAGCGCATTGAACGGGCTAAACTTGAACGGGGAAAGAGTAAGTAAGATACTAAGTACATTCTCTTGAAATTTGAGGCCGATTCATGGGTCAGGATTAGACAAAATGTGTTCAAGGGAGGGGATTGACTTGTATTAAGAAGCATATTGGAGATATATATCTAGGGGTTAATACCGCAAAAACTTCAAATTATTCTCATTGTGACACAAATACTCTAAACTTGCTCATTATGACATAAATACCCTAAACCTAGCCCCGAACTTAAATATACTTGGGATGGATCGAAAGATGGGGTTTATATGTCACACATGTATAAGTTTGTATTTTTTATGAAACAAAAAAAAAAAAATCAGGCCGAAATTCTCAAGTAAAATTTGGAAAGCAACAAGGCATAATCTATGCAAATTTTGGCCACATGGGGAATGAGAGAGATATCCTAATTTTCTAGCACAAAGAAGTCATAACTTACTTGATCTGAAATAGGAAACTAGGAGACTAATTACTTATCTCAAGAGAGCTCTAAACCTATAACTATTTAGGCATCTTATCCAGTCCAAAACAGAGGATACACAGAAACAATACACACAAAAAGAACACAATTCATGGCTCTGGTCTGCGGTTTCCTTCTTGACGTACTCACGGCCTCGCTCCCCCCGACGTTCTCCAAGGTGTCCCGACGATCCTCCAACCTTCAGCAGCCTTTAGGACGACCCTGAGGCCCCTCCGAAGCCGTGCTTGCCGGTCGCCTTCGTCCGTGCATCTCCAACCGCCGCCCAGTCCTCACCGACGTTCCGAAGGCAGTCCTTCTAATCTCCGGCAGCTCCGATATGCCCCCGAGAAGACTCCAACACGTCCTGCAGCTTCTTGGTGTCATCCTCAATCACCGCTCTGCCGTGATCCGTCGTCAACCAAGCCCGAGCACCACTTACCTTCAAATCCTCCTTCTTCTCTTCGTGTGCCAGCTAGGAGTGAGCATGGTCCGGGTGAGCGGTTCACACCCCGGAACCGTGGACCGCCCGGTAAGGATCAGTTCCAAAAAAATTGGAACCGAGAAACGCCTGTCGGTTCCATGGTCCCACCCGAGAACCGGACCGCCGATCCGGTCCGATTCTCAGGTGGGTCCATGGAACCAATCCCACCAAGTTTTTATGGACAAATAAAAAAATGGACTGGTCTAATTTATACCCGTTGCTGAGTTGTGTTCACCACATGCTACTTTGATTTACCTTAATGCACATGTGTAATGTATCTTCAGTGTACACAGATTACCCCTACTTTGGCATTTGATTTCACTAGTCTGATACAGAAGTCATGCACTTCTATCGAAAATGGTCTGATACAGAACTGCCCTCTACAACTTTCCAAGATTCTACACAACCTGCCCAAGCCTCAAGAGTCAAGAGGCTCTCATTTAAGCTAACAAATTGAATGAACCTAAAACCCTTAGAAACAATGACAACAAGATTTGCCACAAAGTTCAATTACACATCACAACAAGATTGGTCACAAAGTTCACAACTTCACAAGCTTCACATCAAATACATCCGTAACCTATATTATATATCACACGTGGAAGTTTGCCACAAGTTCACAATAGTCAGCAAGCAAACAAAACAACGACTCTCCTATTTTCTTTTTTTCTTTTTTTTGGTAAGATTTTTTTACTTAAAGATTAAAAAATATACATATATATTATTATATTACCGGTCCGGTCCAGGTGGGCCGGTGGGCTAGTGGGCGGTTCCACACCGAGAACCGGGAATCGAACCGGTTCCGGTCCGGTTCCAGGCAGTCCCGGGCGGTCCGAGCGGATCCCGGTTCTTTTGTACACCCCTAGTGCTAGCAGTCCCTTGAAGCTTCGCCACTGTTCCCTTGGTCCTGAATCATTTTCTGGGGTTTCTTGATTAGTCCTAATTAAGATAAGTTTAATAAATACATGAATAATGGGTTATATTTAATATTTTTAAGTCATGATTTAGTGCATACTATATAGTTACCTAATTTTAGGTTGATTTAATTTCCCTCACATTATACCCTATATTAAACATGACATAAATTGGGGCATAAGACCTTTGAGCCTAAAAGTTAGACCCCAATTAGAATACTAGGTTAATACTACGAAAAACCTCAAATTGGTATATCTGTGACAAATTTATCCCAAACTAATTTTTTAATCATGAAAAACTCTAAACTGATACACTTGTGACAAATTTACCCCAAACTAATTTTTTGATCACTACAAACCCCAAACTGATACATTTGTGACAAACCCTAAGCCGTCATGTTGTGCGCCGAAAGTCCCACCCTCAGTTCTAGATCGAGTATTGTGTCACTACTCGGTGCCGGAGATCCGAGCCTCAGTTCTAGATCGAGTGTTATTCGCTCCGTCGCAACGACAATGACGGCTGTGGGTAGCCGTAATCTGGTTCCCAAAGGCACAAAACAGATAGGTAAGTTCACCCCTTTCGTGTTTTTTTGTCCCTTTTAGTTCGATATAAAAGCATGGAAAGTGAACGAAAGCATCATGCATGTGGTAAACAGAGTTGTAATGCGGTAGAATCTAATGTAATCTCGTACTATATGCTATACGACATGTATTTAATTCTATGTTAATTATTTAAAGTTCGACTATCTTACCAATAGGTCAATCGACTCAGATTAAATAATCTAAACATGATGTCACTATTAAATTGAAGTACATCGTTTTTATAAATATATATGTGAAATTACTACTAAATTAATACTCTCCCTTGAAAATTGCTTTTCAAATATTGAGACATCCAAAGTTTTGTTGTTCATCCAAGTATATATATATATTCGTTCATCTTAAGAAATTGAATTAAATGCCTATGCTACAAAAAAAAGGGATGTAATGCAAAAAACAAAATAGAATGTAATAATGATATTTGCTTTTAAAAAAGGATGCTTACTACTTCACTTTTTCTGTATCATGCATAGTCTTTTTAAAATGAACATAAATATATTTGGGATCACAATTTTTATACAAAAAGAAAACACGATTTGAATACGGTCTGAATTTATTGAGAAACCTGAATTTGAATTGAACACGATAAAGACCAATGCGGTTAATTTAAAATTCACATGAGTTTGACCATCTTTCACAAATTTTCCGAAAAATGGACTAATTGTCGTCATGTTGAAATGTTTTGATTAAGAAATGAAATGACATGAATAGTCAAGACTAATTTAACAAAATGAGATGATTTGCCACCCCATTTCATCCTTATAATTATAGAAATTTGATATTTTTTTTTCTTTAGGCTGTTTCCATTTTTTCAATCGTGGAAATTATTGTCTATTTTGATCCCACTCGGTGTAATTTGCTTGCCTGCAACCAAATCCTCCCAATAATATGTCTCTTTATGTTGCTTTTTTCCTTGAATCTCACATAGTGAGATTTGAGGAAATCAACCAAGTGAGAGCTTTTAACTTTAATTTCTCCAAGAAACCAGATAAACGAGTTAAGCAATTTCCTTTAGAAATTTTTGGCCCATGTAGTATATAAGGCTCAATGACAAAATGCTGGAAGCGAGATGAATCGATTACTGTTCAGCATTCAGTTCTATTAAATTAGTCTACGTAGACAAGAAATATGGTGGAAAGGCATACATTTTTTCTTTGCAGCTTTCCTCAAACCTAATCTCCTTAAGGATAAACTACCTTTGAATCGACGGTTTTATTGAGAAGTGACTTGATGAGCCGAAGCAATAATGCTCAGGTAGTATATCCAAATATGGAACATTGTTTAGACTATAACTAGAATTTTTGGTTATCTTAAGAGAACTAAAAATTTAGGCTTGTTCTATAATAATTATCCAGTTAATTATAGAAAATACACCGATTAAATTTGGACCCTAAACAAGTGTTAAAATTGCATAAATATTCCACTATAGATTATGGGTTTTCACTCTAGGTGGAAGCGAGCTTAGAATTCATCATGTAAATTGAGCTCGGACAAACGAACATGTATAACTCACTCAACTATGGAGTCAGAATTTGTTGCTTTAGCGGCAATTGGGAGAGGCTAAGTGGATTAGGAATTTGTTGTTGGATATCAAATTATGGCCTAGTCCTATGCCTCCTATTTCTATCCATTGTGATAGTCAGGCTACTTTGGCAAGAGCTTATAGTAGTACCTATAATGGGAAGTCTAGACATATTAGCCTAAGGCATTATTTTGTGAGACAATTGATTAAAGATGGTACCATAACAATTGTCTACGTGAGGTCAAGTAATAATTTGGCGATCCTTTGACAAAGGCATTACCAAGAGATATGGTAAAAATGACCTCACAAGAAATGGGGCTGAAAACCCTTTAATTAAAATCACTAATAACGGTAACCCAACCTTTTTCTAGAACATCACTAGTTAGAAGGTTTAATGGGTAAGAACAAGTTGGCCTGAATGTGATTGTTTGATACCGACGTAGCCTAATATGAGAAGTTAGTATCGTCTCACTGCAATTAGCGAGTAATCGCAACAGAGCCGACAACCCTGCTACAATAGACTGAGACGACGACACTTTTTCGTCTCCTCACTGATCCGTAGCTGGTTACCATGAGTCCTCCATCACCAAGAAGCCGACTTATCCAAGTCGAGAGCTGAAAGCCGTGAGTCCAAGAGGTGGGTTTTGTCGCTTTATTCATCACATCTTGGTAACCAGTCAGCAATATTCAGTCAAAGGAAGCCATAGCCGTGACTCCAAGAGAGAATTCCGAAAAAGAAAAGACAACCAAAAGGGAAGTTGCAATTGAAGACTTCGGTTGGAGCAAGCAATGTCAACATCCACAAATCCGTGAACCCATACCAACACTGCAATACTGGCGAAATAGCAGGTTTCCTCGGCGATTGTTTTTTGGTTCTTTTTGCAGGTTCTTTTGGTCGTAGCACTCCCCCATCGAGCCATAACCACCGTGAGCCACCACCGCGGCTAGCCGTGTTGGTCATCGTCGGTCATCAGCGCTGCACCGCTGCCCGGAGAGACGCCCGCCGCGCCGCTGTCCCCGCGTGTCACCGCGCGCGAGTCGCCGCCACTCCCGACATCGCGCCACCGCTGCCGACGCACCGCCGTTCACCATCCCGATCCGCAATCCCGATTTTTGCAAATTCAAATTAGGAAAGAAATCTCCAAATCAGGTAATTATCTTATCCCGATTTGATTTGAATATTTTGTTGCCTAATTTGTGCTTATTGATATCTAATTTTGCATATTCAAGTAATAAGCATATTTCAATTAGGATTTATTTTTTTTTTTTGAAATCTTGGATATCTATCTTATCAAATTTGGATAGAATTTAGAATTTTCAAAATCCTTTGAATATATCCAAGATATTTGAGATATCTAAATTTTTCAAGATGTGAACGATTAGGAAAATTTCCTAATCCGCAACCTTTAATCTATCTATCGGCTTTAGATAGAGTTATTTCCATAATGCGGGTATTTGAATTTTAGGATCGATCGTCGGCTTGATCGAAACTTAATTAAAGATTTATGTTATTTTTACTTGATTTTAATTTCGAATTTCGATAAAAAATACCAAAAATATTACTCTAGAATAGGTTAATTTCTTTAGTTTAAAATTGCATGTTTAGATAATTGGCATTTTAAATTCCGAATTTCATTAAAGAAAAAATACAAAAAAATATACCCGTCATTAGAAATAGGTCACGTCGTCACATGACATATAGTTTGCATGTTAGCATTGCATTAATCGCAAATCAATTTTTGCACGTCATTACACATAGTGAGATTTGAGGAAATCAACCAAGTGAGAGCTTTTAACTTTAATTTCTCCAAGAAACCAGATAAACGAGTAAAGCAATTTCCTTGAGAAATTTTTGGCCCATGCAGTATATAAGGCTCAATGACAAAATGCTGGAAGCGAGATGAATCGATTACTGTTCCGCATTCAGTTCTATTAAATTAGTCTAAGTAGACAAGAAATATGGTGGAAAGGCATACATTTTTTCTTTGCAGCTTTCCTCAAACCTAATCTCCTTAAGGATAAACTACCTTTGAATCGACGGTTTTATTGAGAAGTGACTTGATGAGCCGAAGCAATAATGCTCAGGTAGTATATTCCCTTTTAGCTTGTTTACGACTACCCGCGAGGCATTCGACGTGACTCCTTGAGAACAATGAGGCCAACACTTGATTGGGAGAAACCGGACATGACTCTAGCTAACTCTAACTCACTTCGGAGAGCGGCATGGGGGTGATTAATCTACCAAAATGATGGATAATTAGGCATTCTTAACATATCAAAAGATTCATAATATTGTAAAACCAAGTTTAAACAGAATTAAGTTTTCTCTAGTTCACCGCTTAAGTTTTCTCTAGTCCAATCCAGCATTATAGAAAATTCACCTAATTTTGTTGCCTTCAATGTCTAGGCGACAGGACTTAAGGAAAAGGTGATAGAGCAAACACAACAAATATTTCGCAACGAAAGAATTTTATCGCCTTTGCTTAAGGCGAAAAAATTTGGACCAAAGGCAACAAATCCCCTATTTATTACTTCATTTATGAATTTCATAATAATTGAGAACTTGTAACTTGCTATCCTCTCAACTAGCAAGTAAAGAATTGCTTCTATAGAAAGGATGATTAATTCGTATCAACAAGAGAGTTAAATTCATTACCAGAATCCATATTGTATATTTATACATGAAAGAAAGAGGTCGATCTCTTTCCTTCTCTTGTGATACAATCCTTTTTCACCTCGGTCCACAAGGAGAAAATGCAGGATTTGTGCCAAAAGCGATATTTTGTCGCTTAGCCCATTTTTTATTTTGTATTGCTCGGTGATTTTTGTATATGTGATGAATTCTCTTTTCCACAACATCTTTTAGAATTTTGGATTTTTAGTTATATTATCATGTAAAATTTTCGAAATAGACTGACTTAACTCATAATTTTGTCAAAAGCACAAAATATTGGCATATCACTTTCTCCTCATACATACATGGCTCGAAGCATATGGAAATATCCAAACTCCAATTGGATAAAAAATAAATAATGAAAAGAACAGTGCTCGAAGATAAATAAGGAAATTTATTTTGAAACTTTATAATCTCTGTCTGACCAAAAAGAAAAAAAAACGATTAGAATATCTAAACTTTGATGTGTAGCACGTGATGTATATATTGCATGCGTTGGATATTCGTGCACTAAAAATTGATACATATGCAAGGTGACTCTTGTAGTCCCCGTGATCTCCATAATGAAGCATGATCAAGAACTTTTGTTTCCTTAGTTATTATTGTTATTGGCGTATCTTTATTTATGATATATAATGCAAAAGTTGGACATGTTCTTCCAACAAAACACGAGAAACGCTTTCCATAATCATGATTGGAGCATAAAATTCAACTCCCTAACATTGAAAAAGAAGAATTTATCAAACATAAAAAATTCAACCGAACAAGCAGTGAAATGGAGGAAAACCATTGTCATTCATATGGCTCGCTCTCTTCTAAAGCATGAAATGTGGTGGCTTGTCACCCCAAAAATCGGCTATTTTGTAATCCACCATCATGGTTAGACTCAAGCTCTGGGTAGATCGGCCCATCATGAGCATGAGCATGATGGGGATTGGTGTCATTCATGCATGGCTCGTTGTTGCTGTTATATCCCTCATGTGATCCCTGGCCTGCATAATAATTTGTTATGGGGTAATAGCATGAGCTCGAAGGCACGTCGATTACTGGCGTGTTCGATGATGAAACCAGTCCTGAATGATGCCCCATGTCCTGATTGAAGATTCCTTTATTGTTCCAAGTATAAATGTGATGAGCAACGTTCATGTCAGCACTCATATATGAAGGCTCCTTGCTAGCCATCATCTTGTTTGAGGGGTTGCTGTTGTGATCATATCCCTGGTGTCCATGGCCTGTGCCCATTGTGACTTTGTCGGAGTTATAACTCGAAGGTGCTACGATTTGTTCTTCAAGCGAGTGTCCCATGAATTGTCCATTGAAGATTGTTCTATTTCTCGGCAACGACGGAGGTGGTGCGTAAGCATAATCTGATTTTTGAAGACACAAGGGAACTTTTTGTTTGGATTTGCGTTGGTTAAACATAAAAAAAAAAGTATGCAAAAGATAAGAGCATGTCCGTTACAAACAGTGCACCTCATGGTGAGATCACATTCTCTGATATTATCTTGCCACAAATAAAATAAAATCTAATATATTATTTGGTCATTTATATAAATAAAGCAATGGCCCATATCACAAGACTAACCTACAAATTGATTTATTTAGCGACGAGGCAATCTTGATGTATCATATAATAATACAATGAGAAAAAATAACAACATTACTCATTGTCCCCTATATTGAATACCCTGTTGAAATTTATCATTTATCGACCTAAACTAAAAGGTCCTTAACAAATTGTTAATACCATGCACAAAAGGATGTATCCAGAGAAAAATGCTACTTACTAAAAATACGTACTTATCACATCAAATTAAGAAGATTAATAAGGTAATATTTTAGATAAAATTAGTGAATTTTCCCATTTTTATGGTGCAAACTGATGCAACTTCGTTAAATTTTTCTACTATCACATTAATGTGCGAATATGCTTCTATTATAGTATGTGCATCGTATTTATAGCAACAGTCTAGCAAATTTAGCAAAGCGAAAAAGCAAGAATTGCAATTTTCTCTTAAGCAAATAAACCGAGAACCACTATATAAGACGAATGGGAAATCACTAATTGTTAAGTACCTGAGACCTGTGAACTAGGTGAATTGTCAAAAAACGGCATTTGATGATTTGCCAATCGTCTCTGATATTCTTGAATCAAAATCATCAGTTCATCATTGACCAAGCGTGCAGGAACACTTGAATGGCTAGGAGGAAGCTGATGATGAAGATGATGGCGAAGTTGAATCAGTTCAGAGTTGATTAATGGTGGTGCTGATTGCGTTGCCTCAGTAAGATAACCCTCAAAGAACGGACTTTCTGAACTTGGGAATGGCCTCCTGCTCAGTTCCCTCAAAGGAGAGTCCAAGAAGAAGAGTGGCTCCATGTTTCTCTCTAGCGTGCCTTGAGGAAACTCAAGATGGTGCCTCCTTATAAGGGAACCAAAAGAAAAACAATATAAATCACCATATATACGTGATAACTTGCGATTAAATTAGAGATTAAATAGAGGAGTTGTATCATCGGATCTTTTTCTATGTCGAAACAGGTATCTAATCATAGATGGTTATTTAGAGCTTGCTCGATTTCAATCAGGACAACATGATGTACCTGTAAGTACAAGCTTGACCATCAGTGAAATCGGAACTCGGCTTCCAAGAGGTATGCTTTTTGGGTCGCACTTCGGTCTCGCAGTAGAAATGAGGTGGCTTGTGTAACTGAAAGAAAGCTTGATACGTTAGGACCCGCTACAGAGAGTGAATATATCATTGATAGTAGATGATGTGAACATGATGTTTCTAACATGGCACTATAAAGCTTGTGATAAGAAGTTGAGAAGGTAGCGATTTGATACCTTTCTTACACAAGTATAGGAACACGGAAAGGACAAAGAAGATCACTTAATGAAACCATTGTTGAATCCACAATCATGGAAACGAAACTTGGCACAAACAAAATTTAAGGTTAAGGGTTACACCTCGATTTCGAGAATTTCCACATTGCCACCATATTCAACTCTTATCGCCGAAATATCCATCCAGCTTATTTCAATCTTCTTCTTCAAACCGTGTTCGAGTATCTCCCAGTTCAGCCGTTTCTTCGAGTAATACCACTTCGCTATTAGATGAGATGGGTATCGAGGTCTTACCTGCACATTTTTCCACACGAAAACCACGAGACGACAATTCCAAAAGAGAGTCAGATTTTACGACCGAATGGAAATTTCAGTACATACATGTTCACACATATGCATGTAAGGTAAAAGATACCTCGTAATTACCAATCTTGAGGACACTGAACGCTTCGCTTGTGGCCTTGAACTTCTGTAACCCGAGCGCTTCACATGTTCGACGATCGACTTGTCCCTCAGAAAGTATGGCTTCGGTTTTCTTGAGCATATGAAGTGTCTTGTGGGATTCCAGGTTGAGCACGGTCAAAGAATCGAGAGTTCCGTTGGAATCGCCCTGAACAATTCGCAGATCGCGTCATTGAAAAAAAAAAAGTCCTCCTGTTATCAAGTGCCCAGTACACATATATATGCCATGCACGGTCAAGCATGCACTGGCACTGTAACTTGTTATTTCTTTCACTTGCAGATGATCAAAATTTCAGAGCCATATCATGATGCGTAGAACGTAACTAGCTAGCAGCCAAGACCGATTCTTTAAGGTTTAATTCGACTATTTTGTCATTGACAAACCCAACATATTCCAAATATATCTTCTTGAAAATCTAATTTAACTATTACGTCCTTAAAAACCCTCATTCGTATCTGTTTGAAATATGATACTTTTGCCTTCTTTCTACGGTCCTCTCCCTATAATGAGAGGAATGAATCAAACTACATGCAAAAAGATAAACAGCCCAGAGAGAGAGAGAGAGAGAGAACCAGCGCGTGTGGTGTCTCAATTGCTATTTGAGCACCCTGCTGATCAGGGGCCTGTGCATTGTTACTCTGAGCCCCGGAAACACCCAGATGATCATAACCGCCATTCGAAGGTTCGGCCATGGGAAAATCTTCCGCTAGGAGGAGCTGCTCAAGAGACGAGAAATCTATATCACTCCACATGTCCAAGAAGTCTTCTTCGCCTCCGTTACTTGCCATGTTTTCTCTTCTCTTCAACGGCCGAAAAGACAATCGCAAGAAGAACAGGAAGCTTAATAGCTACAAAACACCCCGAAAACCTTAGCAAGAAAGCCAAAGAAACTAACCCTACTCAATCAAAAGGTGAAACACATGAATGTTTAGTCGATTGAACGTGCTCTATTTATAATCAAGCCACAGAGAGAGAGAGAGAAGAAGAAGAAGAAGAAGAAGAAGAAGAAGAAGAAGCGCGAGAGGAAGTTTGCTTGGATAACAAACCTGTAAAAGAAAAACCAGAATTCGAGTGTTATTGGGAGTGTGTAAAGAGTCCTAGTGCTGGATGGATTCTAAAGTCAACGAACAACTTTCTCTATTAGGCTTCATCGACTCAATTCTCCATATCTTTATTTTTAATTTAAAAAAATAACAATAATTTCGTCCCTTCTTTCTCCATTTTTTCCCTTTAATTTCCCTTCGTTTGTTTCATGGATGATATGACCTTTATATAATAAAATTTCCAGGAAAATTGTAATATTTTTTTATGTTTGGTTGAAATGTGAAAAATAATTACAAAATATTTTTCATCGTTTGGAAAGGATAATTTGATTTGATTTTCCTAAATACATATACATTATTCGGGTGCTAATGACTTGCATATGGACAGTTAGGGAACTAAGCACAGGCACCAAGATTCCTGATCTAGCCTTGATGAACCTCCACTTAGGCATTGGGGACCCGAGCATGGGTCCCGAAGCAAGAGCACAGGCACCGATCTTGGTTCCACAGAAGTCAAAACATAGAACCCGAAGCTCATGCATGGCTTCCAAGTGCCCCATCCCAAGTCTATATAGGCCTAGGACCCGAGCACGAGCACCAGGGTCACACGCTTGGGCTCCGGGGACCTAGTCCTAGACGTCGGGGACCTCGAAAAGAGCGTAAAGTTTATAGTCCAAGCGTCAATATCTAATCATATGTGGAAAAATGATTTTCAAAGAGGAAACCATTTTCATGAATTTAAGCATAAATTTTTCGTTAACTCATTTTCTTAAGAGATTCAAACGCCGGAAAATAAGAAAAATATTTCGTCCAAAAATATTGTTTGTGAAATAAATAGAGCCTTAATAACACGTTCATTCTGCCTTTCCCTTTCTTCGGGAGATTGAGGTGAACCAAGAATTGCTTCAGGTTATTTGGTAGGGAACTGAACAGGATTTAGAAGTAGTACTCGCACTCATTCAATAGCTTGTCAAACGAAGAGATGAAGGAGGGCTCGAGAGTAATTTCGAAAAAGGATGAGAGTAATTTTATAAGTCGTTGCTAAACTTTTATTTTCCTGAATGATTGTATCAATTTCTCTTCATATACAAACTCTATTTGGACCCTAAGACCAGTGATGATTACAATAGCGGACTCTATTTTGAACAAGTAAAGATATTTGACTACGTAGAACTTTGATAAGGAGAACGTGATATACCGATCATAACCGGAGTACGCTCTAATTTCACACCTACAGAAGGTCTTTCTCATGAACATACAAACAATTTCATCAAACCATTGTCATCCTTATGACAGAAAAAGAACAAAGCAGGTCATGTACGCCTCACTCACTTCTACGGCATCGAATGAGGTGGCTCGTCGCGATCATTTGTTGGGGAATAGTTCGAGCTGGAAGGACAGCGTAGCTCCACAACCAGGTGGCGATTCGATGACAAAACGAATCCGGAATAACCGCCTATTTCGAATTGATTTAAGATGGCTTGATGATGATATCCTCCACGCCCATGCCTTGTGTTGTCGGGGTAAAAACTCGAAGCCGTCACGTTGTGCACCGAATGTCCGATCCTCAGTCGCATTGTCCCACTCCCTGGCTCCGAATGTCCCGTCCCTAGATTGAGTATTATTGCGCTCCTGCGCATAGACGATGATGGCTGTGGATAGCCGTAATTTGCTGATTGTGGCCCGGTTGATAGGTTAGTATTGCTAGAGTATGTAGGAACACTTGAATGATTAGGAGGAATCTGATGATGTTGAAGCAACTGAGAGTTGATCGATGGTGGTGGTGGTGCTTGTGGTGCACCAGTCACATGACCCACGAAAAACGGACTTTCCAAACTTGGGAAGGGCCTTCCGGTTGATTCCAACAAGCGAGAGTCCAAGAGAAAAAGTGGTTCCATTTTTCTCTCTAGTGTGCCGTGAGGAAACTCAAGATAGTGAATCCGAACAAAGGGGTAATGAAAACAAAACCAATCACCATACAGATGTCATAATAATTCGCTAAAGTATTGAACTTGTCATGCCCCGAACCCCATCGAGCGCACGACACCCTTCTCTGGTCGATTAATGCGACATCCCAGGGTATCGCCGACCTCACTTATAAATATCAGAAGTTTAAAATGATCAGCGGAAACCACAAAATACCCGGACAATTAAAACTGGGGAAATCAAGGAGAATACACATATTCATTTCTTATTACCAAACTTATATAATATTCACAATTTACAAACCGCCATTGATATATGCACCCCGTACTATAAACCACCGATAACAAAAAGGATCGATGACCTGGGTATTATATCCTCAAAAATGATATACTCCAAAAAGCCTAATCCAACCCCTACACTAACCCCTACGTCCTTTGCTCGGCGTCCACTCGAGTCCGATTCTTCGCACTCGAGTCGAGTCCCCTTGGGTATGTCCGCTCCTCCGAAGACTCAGGCTCGGCCCGATCTTGATCGGGTTGTTTATATCACCCGACTCAGCGGGAACCTCGTCTCGTTCCTCCTCAACCGACTCCTTAAAGAAATCATACTCTGGCACAAAATTAGGGTCCATCCACTGCTCGTACGGGAGTACATATTCCGGTTCTTCTTTAGGCTCGTCCTCTGGTTCAGCAGGTTCATCCTCGGGTTCGGCCTCTGCCCCTTCTTCCTCTGGTTCTTCCTCTGAAATCGGTTCGAGATCCACGTCCATTGGATCGTACCCCGCCTGCGACTCATCAGGTTCTGGCTCATGCTCGGCCTTCGAGGGCTCAGGTGCTGCAGGCGCTTGCTGCAATCCAGACTGCGCCAGACTAGTTTCCACACTAGTCAACTCGCCATCGGGAGGAGGTATAGCGACGGGTCCCAGTCCCAACTCCATCAAAGGGACGTCAAATCATGCGGACGGGTCCAAACTCGTCTATCCCGTCCACTGAAGAACCGAGCGGTGTATGTATGGGGCTCCCACAAGGGTAATCCTACATCTACAAAGACTACGGTGGTATGCCTAATCCAGGTCATATTTTCATCTATAGGAAACTCTACAACGTCGTGTTCGGTGTGCATCGGTACTCCAAAACGCTCAGG